TTATACGTTCAGTTCTAGCTTTTGTTGCTCTGTTAAATATTAAAAACAAAAGAAGAACGGATCAGATTTTATCTGAAAAGTTATTTTTCTATATATACTTAAACACTTCAATTAATACTTAAATCCCTTATATCGGAATTTTTCATTCTGGTTATCTTGCAATAAATCAACTATCGCAGAATAGCTGTATTGAGATTTTATCGTTTTCATGGGACACCTATTGTATTTTATGTTATTGTATTGTATCGTATCGTGGTTTACTCTGCGATTTCCGCCCCTAGATTTGACCAGTTACTGTATTTATGTAACTCATTGACACAACCCCACAGAGGCGCATCATGCTTTTAAGTATCGCTGGCATGGGAAACTGAGTTACTGCAGTATCATAGAATCCCAGCTGGTGCTAATGACATACATAAAAAAACACTACAGCAACTAGTTTCAACAAATTACAAAGACTCATATTTCAGTCATGCTGCCTTACTTCATGCAGGCCTGCTACATGCCCTAACAAGCTACACAAACAGGTGGGAGACAAAGGATGCAATGGAATCCAAAAGTGAGGCAGCATGTAAAACAATCCCCTTAAAAATTAGTCTGACATGGGTCTGACAAAGTGGATAAGTTGGAAACATGAGACATCGCGACACATACAATAGGATTAGCCCTGATGGTAATGTACAAACTGTGGACATAAAAGCCAAAGACGAAACACACACCATGTTATGTTGTCACTGACAGTCTGGCTGTTTTTCAGAGTCTGGTGAGCTGGCAGTACTCACTTTTGGACCAGTTCATCTCTTGTGTTTTGGCACTGTTTCTGGACAAACTCTTCAAACTCAGATGGCAGGAAGGGGAGGCTGGTGGAGAAAAGGTCCTCTAGTCGGACAAATCTCAAGGAAGAGAAGCTAAAAAACAAATGATTTATATTTATATATTTTAAAAATTTTCTACTTATTGTGACATAAAAGTACAACGTTAATACACATACATGAAATGATTTTTTTTTTTACCCATGTACACAAATAAACCTGAATATGCTGTCAGTCAGTATGAGCTTAAAAAAGGAACTTAAAGCTTACACTGTAAAAAGATGGCTCCTAGCTCTAGGAAAATCAATAGAAAGAACCTGAAGTGGCAAATAAGGGGTCAGGAGGACAACTCTTTACAAAAAGGAGAAAAAAAACCTATTCCAAAAGTATATCAGTGTAATCAGGGAAGACGATAGCCTATTGGTTATGCAGCGAGCCCCATGTACAGAGGCCGCAAGTCCTAGTGTTAGCGGCCGTGGGTTCAAATCCGACCTCAGCCCTTCGTTGCATGTCATCACCCACTCTCTACTCCCAACATTTACTCTCTCTCTTCAAATGTCGAAAGGCCCCAAAATTAACTATACAAATATAATTAATGAGGAACAACATTTTTTATCCCTGTATTAAAAAAAAAGAAGTATCACAGGAGTAAAATAAAAAAGTGAAAATGTTCCGACTGTGTAGTAACAAAGGAATGAATAGTTATGAAGAAATTATTGCACCCTCACATCATGCACAGTTTGTATTACCTGCTTAGCCACACGTCCTGAAGAAGAAGCATAATGTGACTGACAGTAAACAGATGTTGGCCCAGCCACATGTGGGCCTCCCTGTAACCAGTTGCCCAAGGAACTGGGGCACGGATCACCCTCATGGGAAAGGGTTTGGGGACATTGGAAATAGACAGCCGCTGACGCTCAGATGGGTCCATCAGAATGTAGTCCACTGCCAAGGAACAATATGGAAGACATATTAGTTAAGACTTCCAAATGAAGCCATGATGCTTTTAAAGAGTCCCTGTCACAGTTACCTATGCTCTTCTTGAGGCTGGAGTAATAATTTATTTTGACCTCGTCCTTTAAGTTTGCCCTCACATTCTGGAGGGTTTTACTACTATCCTCAGTGTCGGGAGGCAGCAGGTGAATAATGTTTATCATCTGCTGGCAGGGCTGCGGTGCCAGCACAGAGCTGGGGACACCAGAGGTGATGTAGTGCATATACCTCTGTAGGAGTAAAGCTCAGATCAACAGTCGCAAAATGAGAATGAAAAGACTCACACATTCATTTCTTAATTCATGAATACTTGCTTCCAGGTCTCTGTCATTAGGTTCCCCCTCCTTGGTCTTTATCTTCTCCTCTTGTCTGTACATGACATCCAGCTGCTGTTTAGGACTCAGAGGTCGGCTGGTGGGAAGGCGAAAGTGTCTTGATCTGGGCTTTGACCGAGGTGAGATTGAAGCCTGAGACGATGTATTCCTGTGAAAGCATTAACATATCAGATCAAGCTCCTTCAGCAAAACAAAACAAAATAAGAGATTAACTGTTACTGAAATGTGAAGCTTAAATGAAATAACTACCTTTTCCTCTGTGTAATTGCTTGGCTCCTTCCTGGAGGGATACATGCTTTACGCCTCATTAAGATCAAAATTCTGATATGAAATTTCTAGAGTCGATTACAGTGTTCACAATTAAGATTTTCATTCAATATCAAACTAATGAACCTGCTATAACAGATAGCTTCAAATAGGTTTCCCTTGATATGTGTTTGATTTGAGAGCAATTTTGAAGGATACAAGGTTTTGCTGATTTTGCCAAAGATTTGCGTACAGTTTTGCGTCTGTGCTGGAGCTGAATAATCTTGAGGTCCTGCGCCCTGGGGCTGAAGTTGTTTGCAATAGACTCACTGGGAGTGCGGTGGTGACGTTGCTCTTTAAAGGGAACTGCCAGGGTCCATGAATTAGATTGGAGGATGGGCGGATATTGACTGTGCCTTAAGACAATCTGGGAAAAAAACGACTTGAATGTTAATTTTGTCACACAAATGTTAACATATCTTGCTTCTCTGAGCTCTGAACATGATGCAGTGACTGATATTCTTACTTTATACAGTTCTGAGGGCTCATCATTACAAGACCTAGGCAAAGGTGGGGGAAAAGAAAATCCCCGGCTTTGACTCATATTGTAGATAGAGTCGTCCTCCATCTGTAGTTGAGACAAAAAATAGTTTGCATAATGCCCTTTTGTTTTACTTTTAATTGCACCTCTCATGATCTCTTTATATACATAGGCTACTAAATGAGATTCAGTGAAAATGCTAATTATTATTGTTTTTAGCTAACTTTAAAGTTACCTGCTTCAGCCTTTCCATCTTGTTCACCTTTCTTGGGGGTGAAAGGAAGATAAAAATGCAATTATGTAATTTATGAGTGAACAATGATACACATTTACATTTAAAGGGTAACTAAACCCCATATTTCAAGAATGTCAGTGTTAGAGTTTTTCAAACACTATGCACATTTCTAACACAATATTTCTCATTTCAATACTTTGTACTCAAATGTCGAGATTTGGACTTGAATTGATCCATAACACTACTTAATACTCAAAGACAGAGGTTTATAGTTAAAAAAAAGTGGTTTTAGGGTTTAGTTACTCTTTAAAACAGTATGAAAAATGATCAAACATTGTTAATACGCTAATATCATTTACCTTCAATCAGTCGCTCGTTCTTTAGGCCGGCAGGATTTTCTTGGCATTAGCTCAAAGTTTGGTTAAAGTGTTCCGTCAGTGGTCAGTAGCAGAAGTTAGCCGCTGAGTTTTAAAAAAAAAGTATTCTATCCCAGTTTACCTGAGAGTTTCTTTCTCCTTGTCAGTGTCGACCACAGGAAAAGCCATCATGTTGCTGTAAACTGAAACACCGTTGCGCTCATCTAGGATCATCTCCATGGTAACACCAACCACCTTGTTGCGATCAAGAAAAGCTAAACTATGCGGTGGGCGGAGCCACGTGCACTTGTTTCCCGGTACAGGTCTGACAAGTAAACTTTATCAAATCAATTGTCTGACCGGGTATCATGTGTGCAATATAGGCACAACCAAATAGACTATTACTATTTGTTAAAATGAAAATGATTGATTCCTGTACGTTTCACATTGACTACTAGGCGAAGGACCATGTTGGATGATTATTTACCTGGAAACATCAGCAGTCAGCAGGTTAATCTCGCCCTCTGCTGGTTGCATACGAAAATTATTCCCACATTGTTCTTGGTGGATATAGCCCCCCTTAAAAATGATTAGAAAAATAAGCTACAATGTCAGTGTACGTGTAATATTTTACCTATATAACTTTTTAGATGACTATTCAGCAGCACATTTAAAATGACTTCCATCAGAAGTAAAATGTATACTATTGTTTTCAACCCCATTTGTATGTGACATACGTCTTTAAATGTTCTTTTCTTCATTTAAGTTTTATTCATCTATTTGTTTATTCTCTCCGTTTTCATTGTACTTTATTTAAAAAAAAGATATAATATAAAGACATATATTATTTTATCTTTTTATTTTTTACTAATGCTGACTAAACCTGTTTTATAAGTAATGTGGTTGGCTTTATTGTCACTGGTACTGATGTTAAAGCTGCAGTTATTAAGGCTATGTCCACTAAAGATGAAGGACCGTTATTGTACATTACCAACCAAGAACAGATGGGTGCAGGGTGATGACAGTTTGTTTTGTTTTTTTGTTTTTTGATTGTTTTGTTTTTTTCTTGTCTGTTTGTTTTAAGTGTATGTTTGGTGGGCATTGTATGCCTATTTTGTTGTCATGTTTTCAAAAAAAAAGAAAAGGAAAAACAATAAAAATTGTTAATCACAAAAAAAATGTTCTTTCCCCTTGTAGACTACTTATTACGAGGAAAGGAAGTATGCATGTGCAAAAGACTATAGGCCTATAGGGTGGTTTGAACTATTTTATGAAATTGTAATCTAATCTTTGGCAAATTAGTCAACTTCTACACATTTACATTGACTTTTTATCAGTATGTTTTTCTTTCACGATTTACCATCAACTTTATTCTAAGTTAAGGTGCAGGCTCCTGCATACATTTGACTTGCAAAAGTTGATTAAAATTGAACTTACACAGCTCGCACCTGATTGGCTATCAGGTAAGTCATGTGGAGTGGGCGTGGTCAGGCTAATGAGAGGTAGCTGTCGCGGAGCAGAAGAAGCGCCACTGCGGCTTGTCTTTGATTGTTGCTGGTTAATTTATTAGTTTTAACTATTTTAGATATGGTAAGTTTCGGTAACAATTTCGTTTTTTTTATTTAGCGATATGCTAGCTAGCATGCTTCCTTTGAAATTAAACCAAATAAGGCGCACTAGCATCCATCAAGTAGCTAGGTAAAAGGCCTATTAGCATGATTTAGCACTGTTACGTTGTGTTTTATATTAGCAAAAGCTAACTAAAAAAAAAAAGCGGGTTTGGTCCGATGCTATTTCCTTACCTTTTTCGCGGCTTCATCATGCATGGAAAATTCTCAAACCAAAGTTTCCATGTTGTACGCTTGAAGTATGAACGAGTAAATGGCTTCCGAATGTCGTTTTATTGTCACTTTAAAAAAGTTTTATTTGGTGTCAAGTTTAAGCCATGGCCGAGGGCAGCTTTGAATTTGTTAACATATCAGTGAATAGGAAAAACTGTGAAGACACTAGGTTTCTTTATATATCCCAGCTGAATGTTTTACTTCTGCAGCAGGGGTTACGTGGAAAGTGTGTGATAGCCAATGAATGCATGCATAATATGGACATGCAGTTTAGGCTAAGGTGTGTGTGGAAATATAAAAGCTGCTTGATTGAAAGAAAAAAAAGATAAGATTTCTACAAGGTTCAACTTACTCATTCAAACGTTGTTTTGTTTCAAGGATATCCGCAAGCCCAGGAGCAGCACCCAGACTTCACCTTCCCTGAAGTTGTCAAATGGCTTCATCTTACCTGAGGGTAAACTGACCCCCAACGCCCTGTTTGTTGGTGGGATTGACATGAAGGTAGGTTTAGATGTATACGGCTCAGAGTTTGGCATTGTTTGGAAGTTTGACAATTTATGAAACATTGTGTTCATAAATTTAATGTTTTATGATCGAGGACCAACCAATTGACATTTTATATGGCGTTTGATATACAAACAAGGTGTGTCTGTCTTTCACAAAAAAGTTACTTTTTGGACCTAAATTGTCTGGCAAAGGATGAAAAGTGTTTGCCCTGAAAATTTCAAATATATGTAGAACTGCTGCTTTAGATAGTGTTTTTTTTTTTTTTAACTGTAATGTCAACAGCCAGTCAAGGATACAGATTGTAACTAACTTGCCGTCCCCAGATCTTGGGTCCAGGCTCTTAAGTATCTTAATATTGTGATCAAGTGTTTATCTCAAGATCATTATTTAAGTAAAATACACATTTTCCACATTGCATCAAATGCTTTTATTCAACAGTTTGCAAGTAAAGCAATGAAAATTGAATTTTCTTCTGGAAAAAAAAAAATGTCAACCTTCAGGTGGATGAAAACGAAATGCAGGACTTCTTTGCCAGATATGGTGCTGTCAAGGAAGTTAAGATTATCACATACCGTGGAGGAATCTGCAAGGGGTGAGTTTAATAAGAGTAGTTGGGAGGTCCTCAGGAGTGATCGCTTGATTTTAATATACTTGGTCCCCTTTTGGGTTGCCACTTAAACATTAAAAACAAATCTTTTTACAGATAACTACATAATATATTTGGTTTAGGGACTCGAAGGGAATTAAAAACAAACCCTTATGGACTAGTGTATAACTGCACGGCTAATTTTTTTTTTCCTTAGCAAAACATACATAAAGAAACAATGCAATAATGTGTCTCACAATTTTTCCCTTCAGTAAATTATCTGTATTTGTCACAAAACTTATGTGAAATTGTTTCTGTTTAAAGTTGGGGAATTAATAATCCTGCAACAACTTGCATGATATTTAATTGTTTACTCCATAAATTAATTTGCGCTCCAATTCCTTTCCTTATTTTGAATTGGATATTGTTATTGGATTGCTGTGTTTTTGTAATTTGAGTTTTTTTTTGTGTATTTCTAGGTACGGGTTTGTTTACTTCAATGAAGATGTCAACATTCAGTCAATCATTGAGGTGAGTGTACATCTGTTTTCTCAACTGCTGTTCTATTAACTTTATCTCAAATTAACACTCATATTTCCTTTGTACATACTCTTTCATTTTTTTGTTGTTGCCACAGCAACAGATCAGTTTTAAGGGCCGGAAACTAAAACTGGGCCCAGCTATCATGAAAGAAAGGAGCGCACGTAAGTATTCAGTTACACTTAAAGGGAACTTCTGGGGTTGTTAAGTAGCAATTTTGAAAAAGATCCTGCCACTAGATACGATTGTGTCTTTGCTACCGTATAACAATTTCTAAATCTAGGTTCCATGCCGTCCCGTCTGGTTGGCCCAGCTCCTTGGATGAACCCCATGCAGTACTACTACTGTGCTTGCTGTTCACCCATGGGAGGGGGCATGGCACAACCTTCACCCATCCTCAATGGAGGTAGCCCCTACAATCAGGTAAAAAAAATAATTGCACATACACAAGCTGTCAGTTATCTTACCTCATAGAAATAAAACATAATGGCAAGTAAACACTATTGAAAGGGAATTTGTAACGCTGTCACAAAATGCTCTATTCTTTTAGGAGCACTCTGTACATTAAAATGAACCTAATTTATCAGAGGGGAAGTTTGCTCACTAACACAGACAAGAATAGAAGTGAAAGATGGATTAAAATAAATTTAGATGATAAAAACTCAACTTTGCCATGATATATATTAATGATATTGCTAATCTTCACATGTTTGTGAATAATTCAGACATTACCAGCTGATGAAAACATAAGTCATTGTGTTGTGGGTGAAAGTGGTTCTTCTGGCACTTCTTTGCAGCCGTATTCGTACTCAAACTTGGGAGGGGTCATGATCCCACAGATGCCAATGAACTACGCACAGAACGCCTATGCTTACCAGGTACACACACACACACACGCACACTTAAACGCACCAATCATTAAACAGCATCCCATGCAGGGTCTCCAAGAAACTTCCTGATGCAAATGCAGGGTTCATTCTGGCCTTGCCCACCACCCTACTCCACCTACCCTCTCACCATCAATTTCCTATAGAGGCATATCTGGGTTTGTCTGTTGCCCTCTGTTTGACCGCTGACCACTCTCTCCCCCCCCACCCCCACACACACACACACACACACACACACACACACACACACACACACACACACACACATACGCATACACATACGCAGTACACTCCAGCTCACTGGACAGCGGACCGGAGGACACAGCCTGTCAATCAGGTGACTCCGCCTGTAGTGGAATAGGTTAAGTTGTCAGTGTAATTTAGTTTCAAACATCATAGGTTGGTTGCCCTTTGAGAAGGTAAATGAAAAATCTGGTGGAGACTCGTTAGACAAACAAATATTTGACATTTATAAAAGTCATGTTAACTTGTAAAAATGTATATGAAAAAGAAAAAAATAGTGCCCCCCCCTCCCCCGCCCGCCCCAAGTGTTTCTGGCTACAAGTTGTCCACGCATTGCAATGTTCATGCAGGCCACTAGATGGTGCTGGTGTCCAGTGTTGACAAGAACTGAAGCATCAACAGCTATTTTATATTATCCTCTACTTTACAGCGTCTATTTTAAATAATTGATATTTTTGAAGCATTTTTCTTTGTAATTCTCTACTCTGTTTCCAGAACTTTGTGGACTGTGGAGTCCAGACTATGCTGACTGTGTTGTAGTCCAAACCTCCTGCGCCCCTGCAAGGTAACACACTGCTTTAAGTAAAGACCTGTCATACATAGGATACTTAAGTTACAATGTGCAGTCAAGGGTCAAGTGTTTTTGGGTCAGCCAACTTTTTTTTTTTCTCAAGCAGGAGGATGTAAATCAGTGCAAATACTTTCTGTGGGAGCTTTTAATTGGATGGGACCTGCATATTGTCCTTCTGTTACACCTTGTTGCTTGTCCCCGTTTTGCTGTTTCACAGTCACTTTGCATCTCCTTCAGCTATGATTGTTTGAAGTCATGCCCTGAATAAATCCATTAATTTTCTGTCCTCTGTGTCCCTTCTTAACTTCAGTAAATTAAAAATGACTTATCCTGATTGGGTTTGTAATTGAAGAAGGGAACCATCAATTTTTCTTGTGATGTGGTTTTCTGTCCCTTGCTCCCTCAGGCACGGGCTACAGTGAGTGGATGCAGACAGGATGACATCTTGATGTGACGGACGGCAGGAAGCGACCCAACTCCTCATCGTTTTCAGAAATCCCTCTTCTCTCCTCCCCTCAACTTTTTATGAGACCCATTTTAACACCAGACTGCCGACGCTCTCCACTCAAAACTGTACTAGCTTGATTACAGTCACTTTGACCACAACTGGTCGGTACTGCTGTCATGTGTTCAGACCGCTTTTAATTCGCATGAATCACAGAAACAGACACACAGGAAGAGCAGAGCACCTTCACCGTACCTGTTAATATATGGGCTCACAACCTTTTTGTTTTCTTTTTCTTTGTCCCAAAAAAAAAAAAAAGCTGTAAAAGACTTTTATGCTCACCTTTTGTGCCTATTTAATTTTTTATGTTTAATTTATTTTGGACATTATTTTAAATGTGTGTTTTTTTGGTTGGGCTATTTTAGCCTCTGCGAGGGCTATATAATATCTATTGTAACAATGTCTTGACAGCAATCTGGTGGTTTAAGCATTGGTGAAGAATTCCGATTGAATGCCCCTCTGATGAAGACATTTCATTAACTTGTCCACTAAAGCAGCAGAGCACTTGTTCATTACATTAATTTCAAACACTCACATTCACATTTCGGCCTTATTTTTGTTTAATTGGGTGTCGATTTGACTAATGAGCGAGCCTCATCGGTATCACTGTTTTTCTTGTCTTGGTCGAACACCAGGCTTTTCAAGTAGAATTTCCCGGCGCATGTTGTGGCACACTGATCATCTGTGTGCAGTGTGACTAAACCACCTGGTGGGATTCACACAAAATGACAATCACGGCATCGATTTTCTTCCCCAGTATGCAATCACTTTATATTTTGAAAATGAAGGACATGATTTAAAGTAAAGTGCTCTTAGTTTGGTTCAAACGTTCACTGTACATGGTTCATTTTAAGCTCTTTCTCAAAGGGGTATTATATACTAGTTATTGGTGATTTTGCACTAATAATTTTACTGACATTCAATTACTGAAAAAAGATTATTTTATCTATATATTATTTACAGAAATTGCACTCTTATTTGTCATTTGTTGACGCAATTCACTTAAAGGACATTGTCATTTGAAAGGGGCACATGTGGTGTATATCACAGTTTGGACTTTCTATTACCTACTTGTGTGTAGTTTTGTTTGGGCGTTATTCTGGGGGTCTCCAGGGTGCAGAAATCTGATTGTCTTGATAGATGCTTTGCTCAGACAGCCTGCTGACTGCACCGTTAGGTTCTGTTCATTGTTAGTGTTCATGTTTTTCAGGGATTTGTTTGAAAAAATAAAAGTTAAAATGTGTTTCCATTTAAGCCTGTGATAATTTGCGGTTTTTATTTGCACCATTTTGACTGCCAGTTACGATTTTAATCTTGAATTCATCTGAAAATTCTTTGTATTTGATACTATAGGAGAGCAGGTGATTTCAGAGCATGCTTTCAGACTGATGTTCCCACCTCTGCTGCTCCCCAGACACCAGAAGTGCGTCAGTCTGGCTGCTGCTTTTCGGTCAGGGTTGGATTCCCTGTCTTCCCTGGCAACAAGCCCATCATCTTTTGGTCATGGAGCGTTTTGTTTTTGTCACAGTCTGGTGGTGTGACTGGGCTCCCCGGGGTGCCCTTGTACTGCCCGCGACCACCCACCAGTCAGCCCCACCCAGTCAGACGTTTCTGAATTATGGATACGTCTGGATAGCTTCTTATGAAATATGAATTTTTCAAAGTAGACCGTTGAAAAACACAAACACCTCCAATAGCCACGCGTGACCATCTTAACCAAAAATTTGTCAATAGTGAGGCAAAAACATCTGCAAACACTAAGTAGGTTTATCTGATTGTTGAACTGTGTACTCATTTCTCTGATCTTTTTCTATGATTTAAAACTTTAGGGTGATATTAGTTTTAAGTTTAAAAAAAAAAAAGGAGAAGGTTTAAATAGTTTCTCAGAATATCCAATGTACGCGTACCAGACAACAGGGAGGAGAGAGGATGAGTGCAAAGCTCCCTCTTCTCTTCCTCACACGCGCAGGGTGACAGAGCTGGACGGAGTGTTTATCACGAGCTCCAGCAGCACTCAGTTGTAGTTTTATTAATGGAGGACGTATGTGTTCCTCTCATTGGATCACAGTTTATCTGAGCCGTGACGGGCACAGAGAAGACATTAAATAGAGGACGGACGCACCGCCGGCAGATTGAAAGGTGAGGAAGATTTCAGCGCCGGAGCGACTAAACTGGGAACGACTTGATTGGTGAGTTTAACTTTTTGCCGTTTCTTCACATTTCGAGAAGATAACGCCAACTTAGGAGAGGCTTGTTGATATACAGTTTTATTAGTGTTTTTAATGAACAAACCTATTTTAATATTTCCTATAGCGTTTTGTCTCCAAGCAGTTTAAAAAATGTGGTTTCAGCGTGTAATTTTAAGATTTAGAGTTTTTAATAAACTTTAATCAGTCAACAACATACTACAGGCGGAAGTGCTCCACTAAAATTAAGGTCATGGAGAAGTCCAAGGAAGCCTTTTCACAATAAAACTTAAAGAAAATAAAAATAAATAAATAAATAAAAATACCTGCTTCACTTTTACAAGACAACAAGACAGTTATTTGATTTGTGTGATGTCGTGTGCCGTTTGTTATCGTGACGCAACGACATAAATAAGCCTCTGTGCTTAGTGTGAGGTTGACGTGAACTCTCGGCGTGACGGAGTGAATGTGCCTCGCGCAGATGGAAGAGTGTGTGTGTGTGTGAGTGTGTGTGTGTGTGTGTGTGTGTGTGTGTGTGTGTGTGTGTGTGTGTGTGTGTGTGTGTGTGTGTGTGTGTGTGTGTGTGTGTGTGTGTGTGTGTGTGTGTGTGTGTGTGTGTGTGTGTGTGTGTGTGTGTGTGTGTGTGTGTGTCACAACGATAAGATTTGGTGCGTAAGCGACCTGTCATGTTTCATTTCCCGTTCACTAAACTCCTGGCGTTAACGGGCGGTAGCAGCAGCCCGCCACGTGCTGTTCTTCTAGTATGTTGAGAAAAATGTAAAACAGAAATGTGTAATTTCAAGCTTCAAGGCTGTACCCACTAATGCACGGGGCATCAATTAGTCACATGGATATGTACTTACAGTTTAGCTTGGAAATCTATCTGGGAGCATCAATTGTGTGGAGTGCCACTTAGGTTATCATATAGGCCATGCAAACAACAGCTGATACATAGAAGTCATCAATCATTCTCAGATTGATATAAGTGTTTAAGTGCATACTTCAGGGTTCAGTAAATTGATGCCCCCATCCAAACAGTTCTCCTTTGTTCATACACTGTTCTTTTTAGGGCAAACTAGGCTCTGCAAGCAGCGGTGTGACAGCCCAATACATCAATGTCATAATTTGTTTTTATCCTCCCTATGCAGCCTCATTAAAACACGGTTTGAGGTGATTACTTTGTTGCTTAAGGGAAATCGCTCCTCCCTCAAGGCAACTTGACATGCTCCCAGTCTGCTCTGTCTGTCTCTGTTGCCCCCCTCTTCTTCTTCTCCTCCTTCTCCTCCCCCTCCTCTTTCCCCTCAGTCTGTCCTTGTTTTCCTTCCCTTTCCCCATCCTCAGCATATCCCATCATCCTTGGATAGACTCTGAGTGCTGCCCCAACCCAGTGGGAGGGAATCCCACTCCCCAGGATTCAGTCTGTCACCTCTGATTTAGAAATGCAGTGACAGGAATACAATATGGCACAACATTAATGAAATATGTCCCTATTTATTTTTACTTTTTTCACCAACAAGCAGCTATAAAAATGGATACATTTACAGTCAAAAACTAACAAATGTCCCTTGCATGGCCAGCACAAACAAAGAGTAGGACATATAGCTTCCAAGTCAGCCCATAAACATCTGTAGCAGAGTAGACAGGAGGCAAGCAGGGACAGTTTTATTTGATTATACTTTTTATTAATCCGTTTACTGCAAGAAAAAAAAAGCTACTACTAGTAAGTACTTTTTATCAAACACAACAAAAACGTGGGTTTCCTATAGAGGTTGAAGAGAAAAATGAAGCTTAAAAAATTCCAAATATTCTGACTCACTATAGCCCCCAGGTATTAAAATAATTTATTTTTTATTTCTTATTAAAGACCAAATTTAGAAATACTATGGTTATTAGTAAATCTTTTTAGTAAGCTAACTATTAGAGCCACTGCTATTGACATCTGACATCATTTTTGCTGAAAACTATTCTTTATACAGATGTATTTATGAGAATTATTAGTATGACACAGTGTTGTGGTACCTCTCAGGGTTTCAATTACACAGTGGCTTTCACAGGAGCCTTGTTTTACGGTGTGCACGATGACTTCTCACAGTACGGCAGCGTGGTCAATAACAGGGCCACTGTGGAAATCATTACTACTGCAGACGGTAATGCTGTCAGTAATATTTCATACAGGCACAATAACAACAACATCAGATTCACGCAATAAGTTTAATAGCCTAATCAGAAAACCGAATCACAAAGCAGCAGAACACGGGTAACATCTTTCTGCTTCTCGAACACTTCAAGAACACATCACTCGAACAAAAAAGCTGAGCGTTGTTTAACTACTGTAACTTGCTTTTTTACCAAAGTAGGAAATCAAACAGCTGTCTGCAGCTCGTCGCTCCCTCTCTCTCTCCTGTCGCTCTTTCACTGCCCCTTCACTTTCCTGACGTTTCATTTTTGTCTGTGGAAATGTTTTTAAAAATCCCCTTAAACGTTTTAACGGGAAGCTTTCAAGGGAGCTTGTGTCCTCTTCAGGGAAGCCAATCTCCCCTTAGTTTCCTCGTAATTTGAACTATGACAATACTGTATCTGTAAACCACTACACAAACAAGTACTTGTAGCACCATCCGCTGAGCTTGCAGTTATTAGGGTGCTTCAAAGTAAAAATGTTGCACTTACATTAGGACCACAAAAGAATAGTGATTGTTTGGCAGCTAGAAGATAATAAACTGGTGCCGTTAAAATGTTCAAGTAAATTGGCCTATTGTCGGCTTAATGCAAAAAATCTGTTAGCAGCTGATAAATTTCACTGCAGAAACATTTAAGGGTCCGTTTGTGATCATTTTAGAACCATTTCATAATAAGAAAGTTCGTCCCCCAGAGAGTAATTATAAAACATTCCTCTCAGGGCATTCCCCCCTCACCACACAAACTAATATGACGGAGTTTGTTATATTGATCTTATCAAAAAATTGGGCTCAGAGATTCAGCATCAACTGGCCGTATTCGGTTCACCTCATGGTGAAGTTTGTCCATCGTACAGTCCTCAATGTGTAGTCAACCTAACGTACTCAGAGCAGCATTACTTCTGCTTGATTTACCATCCACATGACTAATGTTAGTTACTTTGCTTTCGTCCACTTTTAACTAACTTGAAACATTAGATGACTTTACAAAGCTTACTTTATGTTTGAATAAAGCTGAGAAAATGAAATCCAGCATATGTCAACACAGAATGTAAATTGACCAAGTTTTCAATTTTCACCAATATTGCAATAGTGCTGACTCGTTTCTCGTAGGAAAGGCTGTTGCTACCTGAGATGAAAAATATGATTTTTTTTAACTTTTTCACAGTTGTAGAGCCTTCATGCTGGTTCTATCTATATTTACTTACAATTTTCCCAAACCTGCACCGGCCTGTAGCTCTTTCTCTGAAGGGAATGAATGCTGCTTCTTGGAAAGCGTACTCCCTCACTTAGAGGCACAGGAGGTAGCGGAGCAGTGGCACAGTGCAGACGGATTATGCTTTTTGCGCAAATCTGCTGTCATTTCAGAACTCTCGGTTACAAGAGATTCTCTAATGAGCCGCTCACCGCTTCGTCTCCCCGTCTGTCTTCCTCTTCACTCCATTCTCTCCTTCTCACGTCTTTCATCTGTCTCTCTCCGTTTTCTGCTGTCAAGGCCTTTTTCTGCCTGTTTGTTTGTTGGAGAGCAAGTGAAAGATTCTGTTTGAAGTCAACATGTAGAGAAAAAAGGCCTCGAATGTAGCCCAAAATAAAAGGCCTCAAGTCTTGAAGGCACTAGAGTTTCTGCCGTACTGCACCGACCATTGTTTTTTTCTTTTTACATCTCTTCCAATTATGAGATCTTTCTCCAAATCTCACAGACACACAGTTCATCTGTTGTAGTGAGGCTTTTTATTTTAAACAAATTGTTCAGTGTGTGGTGAGAACGAGGATGAGATGTCGGATCAAAGAGAAGAGCTGGAGGCTTCTCTGGACAAGGACTAGAACCAATCTAGTTTTATTTGAGCGCAATAAAAGCAAATGCCACCAGCTAGATAGCAAGC